GGTGGAAAGTTAAATCTCTCGACCTCACTGCTTTAGTAGTAGCCCTAGAGTGCGATCCGATCATCGTAGAAACTGCTGAAGAGAAGACCAAGGACCTAATGAGAAGAGTCACTCAGGCTTGCGACGCCAGTATGTCTCGGAAACGTGGCATGAATTCAAGACCTTCGGTGCACTGGTGGAACGATCACATTAGCATTCTACGCTCAGAGTGTCTTAAAAAAAGAAGAAAGTCACAGCGTGGCTACAGACGACCTAACTCTGCAGAGCTGTTGGCAGAGTATAAAAAGGGCCGTCGAGAAATAAACAGAGCCATTAAAGAAAGCAAAAGACGCTGCTGGAAGGAACTGGTCGCAGAAGTAGAGAAAGATCCATGGGGCAGACCGTACAAGGTGGTTATGACCCACCTCAAATGCCAGCCAATGCCATCACCTACGTGTCCACAGCTCCTAGAGAAGATTGTTACTGCGCTGTTTCCCCAACAGCCGGTATTCACCTACAAGTTGGAGCGGCTCAACCCTGAAGACATCCCAACTATCACGTTGGATGAGTTGATAGAGGCAGGCAACCGAGTAGGGAATAATAAGGCACCGGGATTGGACGGAATCCCTAATATTGCCCTGAAATCAATCCTTAGGGCAACACCGATATTATTCCTGGATGTTTACGATACATGCCTGAAGGAAGGGACCTTTCCCCAGAAGTGGAAACAGCAACGGCTAGTGCTACTTCCGAAGGGGAAAAAGCCGCCGGAAGAACCGTCATCCTACCGACCACTCTGCATGTTAGACACGGCCGGCAAGATATTCGAGCGTATAATTCATCAGAAAATAGAGGCTGTAGTCGATCCACTCCTGGCAGAGAACCAGTTTGATTTCCGAAAAGGACGGTCAACTCTGGATGCGATCAAATTGGTTGTTGATACAGCCAAGGATGCAATCGCTGGAACGAGATGGAAGAGTGGAAAGAAGAAATACTGCTTGGTGGCTGCTTTGGACATCAAGAATGCCTTCAACTCCGCTAACTTTGAGCGGAAGATGACACGAAGAACGGTACGGAAATGTACGAAATCTCCGGAGGAGTGCCACAGAGATCATTAGATCTTAGGTCCTCTGCTATGGAACATCATGTATGATGGCCTCCTGAGAATAGCATTGCCCACGGGAATCAAACTTGTAGCATATGCGAATGACGTAGCTGTCGTGATCGTCGCAAAGCACCTCGAAGAGATAGAAATGGCATTTGATATTACATTCAGACGAGTCAATTTGTGGATGGACATGATGAACTTGCAACTAGCCAAGCATAAAACCGAGGCAGTGCTCATCACTAGTAGAAAAACGGTAGAAACCATCAAGTTGAGAGTCGGAGAACAAGAAATAACATCACAACTATTTATCCGTTATCTGGGAGTGATGCTGGATGCTCGACTCAACTTCAAGCAGCAGGTGGAACACGTCAGTGTCAAAGCGTCAGTAGTGAGGGCTAGTCTCGCACGGCTGATGCCTAACATCGGAGGCCCAATGCAGAGCAGGAGGCTCTATTATCATCAGTAGTCACATCAGTGCTCACTTACGGAATATCCATTTGGGCTGATGCACTGGAGATCCAAGAATCATGGAGAAAAGCTGGACCAGTATATCGATTGAGTGCCCTACGAGTAGCTAGTGCCTTCCGCACTATATCAGAAGAAGCAGTGTGCGTCATTACTGGAACCCTACCTCTTAGAGTTTTAGCAGAGAAAAGACGGGTCCTTTACCAACGGAAAAGGTCAACTGCACTGAGCCCTGAAGAACGGCAGAACAGCATAGGCCGATGGCAACTACAATGGAATGCTGCAGAGAAGGGTAGGTGGACGCACCGTCTCATACCTTGGATCGACATTTGGCTTAACCGGAATCACGGCGAGGTCAATTACTATCTTACGCAGATGTTGTCGGGACACGGATGTTTTCGAAAGTATCTACACCGCTTTAAGCACGATGACTCGTTGGGGTGCCCGTCCTGCCCAGGAGTTGCTGAAGATGCGGAGCACGTTTTCTTTGTATGTCCTCGTTTCGATCCACAGCGTGAAGAGTTGGAGAGGATCCTGAACCAGAAAATGCAACCAGATTCACTAGTGGAAGCAATGTTGTCATCAGAAGCTGCCTGGAATGCTACCAACACGTTTGCAACAGAAGTCCTCAAAGATTTGCGTTCCACCGAAAGAAGAAGAGCAAATAGCAGAAGATAGAAGGAAGGAAGTTAACACCTTAGCCACCAGAAGGAAGAGCAGTATCTAGATCCTCCCTTTACGAAGTAATGCCTGACGGCGGTTTCCATGAGGGATTAGAGGAAAGAAGGAAAAGGGGTTTAGGGTTTAGTGGGTAGGGGCGTTAGCGTCGACTCGCTACATATCCAGGCCAAACAGCTATACCTAGAATCCGTAAAAAGGATTCCCCCCCCCCTTATAATAAAAAAAAAAAACACACACACACACACACACATACATACACATACAGACATAGTGACACCCTCGCGAGAGTAGTCAGGGAAGCTTCCTATAGAACCTCAGAACGTCGAGATCTGATAAGAATGCGATTTTTGCAATACAGAGTAAAACCAATAACTTCCCGATTTTTGAAAATTTTCAAGTTTCTAAGCGGGAAGTTAAAAATTTTTGACTTCCCGCTATGAAATGTGTTTTTTCAACATAATTTCAAAATTTTATGTCTAATCTCAAAATTAGATTTTGATAAATCTAAAAAAAACTGCGAAAAAAAATTTTTTCAAGAGTGTTTTTTTTGGACTAACTTTCAAATGGCTATAATGATTAATTCCGATAACTAATCAGCTCTTAACCTCAAGAAACCACGTCGATCGCCGTCAGTCCGGTCAAAACTGGTTGATTCGTTCGTGAGTTATCGTTGTCGAAAGAAAACCGAAAAAAGTATTATTTCGGAATTGCTCCGAAATTCTTAGTTCGATCAATACAAACTTAAAGATTCTCTATGAGGCTTAAAAACTGCGTCGAAAGCCACCAACCGCGTGAAAATCGGTTCATTCATTCAAAAGTTATTGCGGTTTGCAAATTCAAAAAATAGTATTTTATTAAACTTCTATCAGACTTTTGAGCTCGAAGAGCTCAAAAGCATAGAACAGCTATCTCTTTGAGCTTGGAGAGCTCAAAATAACAAAGGTTATATTTTTGAGCTTGAAGAGATCAAAAACGTAATAAGTGCAATTTGGAGCGCTTAATTTAAGTATGGAATTAGCGGGAAGTTCCAGGGATGACCTTTAGGGTCAACCGTTTCCCTAATTTTTTTTTCGTATATTCATCGAATGCTTGAATCATTTTTGAAAAGAAATTGTTAATAACTTCAAAACTTATCATCTAACAAAGATAGATTCAGAAGTAGTCTATAAGGCAATTTTTATAATAAAAAGTTAATCTCTTATTATTTATCAAAAAAAACTTTCGAAAAAAATGTTTCTTATATTTTCAGCCTTTGAGTGAGCAATTTTATATCATCATTGATAAATATTTACTGAATATTTATGAATAGTATTTAAGTATTTCAATGTTGTCACACATCTCTGGGTGCCTACAACAAAGATTACAAAAAATATATAATGTTTGCAATGAATGTATTTATAATTTGTCACGATATGATCACATTACGTCATACAAACGGCGTCGTGGCTGATTGACTCTGCAAAAAAGGTCTGAATTCTTGATCGTGTGTGTAATATATACATAATATTATATATATATATATTCAAATTATGATAAAGTACAGTATAAAAATGATCGAGTAATTGTTTCTTATTTCAGATTGTGCTTCGTATGAAATTTGAAAAATCGTTTTTTCATTTGCAATTTAATTTGTTTGGAACCGATTGCTATTTAATAGTGTTGCTTTAGAAATATTTATATAATTTTGATATTTTATAAAATAAAAATTTTTTTAACAATGGAATAAAGAAAAAAAATAATTTTTCATCTTCTTAGTAGTTTTAATTCTTAATCAATCTTTTTTTTTTTTTTTTTTTCTTTATTATATATTTAAATTACAATCTGTTATTTGATAACAATAAATAATTTTTGTGATTTTATGTACATGACGGGTATTTAGGACAATGTCCACTAATATTATTGAAAACGATTTTTTAAATCAATTGTTTTGAACCGTTTTAGTCTTCTAGTTGTCTCTTTGTTTAGTAATTCTGTTGCCATGGGATTTGGGTGGTTTTTTAGTCTGCCTTCGTATTTCACGCTCAGTCTTATAATTTCTTCCTTGATGGTCGGGATGCTTAATCAATCTTAATAAAACTTGTTTAAAATATCATATTAGCAATATTACAAAGTGTGCGTACTAACTTTACTCGACTTATTAATGTATATGATTGTAAAATTCCATAAAAGTTTTATCCTAAGACCAATGCAATAATTAGACTTTATAACATTTATTTTAAAAATGTACAATTGAAACAATGAATTGAAGTAAAACTAAAATTTTTTAGGAAAATTAATAAAAAAAAAATATTCATCCCATTGAAAATTTTTCTTAACTCTAACAATAGAATCAAATTAAATATTTCTACTTATATTCAACTAAATATTAAGTTGTTTTTAATCAAGTTAAAGTCCTTTCACTTTTTAGTCTAGTTTTATTAAATATGCTTGTGCTAACGAATAAATAAGTACAGTAAATTTGTAAATATTACACACATTATTAATTATAGTAATTTGTTATTGTTACTCTTAATTCGATTCATAATTTTTTTTTGTACTTTCTCTTAATGTCAAATGAGCGTAAAAGATTTTGCGAAATAACTTTAAACTTTCCCCGAACGCGCGTGAGTAAAGTTTTCTCTATTCTTGCTGTATAAGTAGGCAATGTATTTTATACTTGTAGTATTAAAAAAGGCGTATGCTTCACAATAATTGTCAAGATTACTCAAGTGGTTTTTAAATTTTTATTTCTCAAATATTAAAAGTTAATTCAACATATAATTTGAAAATGTTCAAAATAATTTGTTCTTTTTGTTTTCTATTATTCGTAATTTCGGAATCTCTAGCGAAACCAATGATTTATAAACGAAATCAGGATAATATATTTGAACGCAGTAAGTAAACACATTTATAGATTTATTATTATTATTATTATTGAGATTCAAAAATACCATCATTATAATGGTGAATACATTTTAAATTTAAATATTTTTTAACTAAAAGTGTATAACTGATGTTCTTGATACAATTAAATATAATTTACCGGATGTTGAAAGAACTCAACATAAGTTCCGTTAATCATAATGAATAATTAAGAAATATCCAAATCAAAAATTAATCAATTACTTGTAATAAAAAAGTTTATTTACAAGATTAAAATTAAAATGAAGTACAAATAACGGTATGATAATAATATTGGCGCGTGAGTTTTGATTATAGTTAACCACGATCTTGCCCAACACAATATTTTTTGAACTATTTTGAATAATGGCCTAAAATATTAATAAAAATAAAGTTACTCATTACTTAAAGTAAAATAATGTGATCTTTTACAACTTAGTTATGGTTCCTGTATCATCTACAGTCATTCCTTTACCAGCATATAAGGACAAATATAAGTATGACTTTACATTAAATGATAAACAGCATCATGCTGTACATAACTTTGAAGGACGTATCAAGTTAATCACAGGTAATATTGATTGAAAATAATTTTTATTAGAAAATTTTACCTAATAATAACCTTATGGAATTTTTTGTTTCAGCAAAAAAAAGAATACACAAGATTTAAATTTATTTATGCTTACTGGAAAAGTATTTGAATATTTATTTTTATTATTAATTTTTTTAATAGAACTAAAAGATTGGAGGAAAACTATTTGCTTATTTTAATTGAAATTAACTGTTACATGATTTATCGAACCGTTAATAAAATTAAACCAAAATAATTTCTTTGAATTGTTTATTATTTTTGTCTAAATACAAATACTTAAAAAATGGACTTGGTAATAAGCGACTTATTTTGGAAAGTAAAAAATTAATAGATATTGAAAATAAAAATATTGAAGTGAACCAATGTTGTTTCTTACGCTGTTTTTATCTTCCCTATGCGATCTCCATAGATTGCTCGGCTGCTAAAATAATATATTAACGAATCAAGATTATTTATATCGAAATAATAAATTTTGTATAAGTTTCCATTTATAAAATAAAAAATGTAATAATAACAATAATAATAATGTAATAATAACAATAAGAAATAATTTTTTGATAAATTTTGTGATAATAAAAATTTACGTTTATTTGAAACTCTAAGAAACGATCATTTCAATTGATTTGAAATCGATTTTTCTATTTGAAAGATATTTTGAGATATAATTCAATGTCATAACTTAAAAAATACTCAAATATTTGTTTTATAATTTTACGTTATTTATCACTCTAGAAAAAAAAATGAAAAGAAAATTTCAATTAGAAACAGAATATTTAAATTAAAAAAAAAAAAAAAAAAACCTATAGGTAAGTGCTTTGTAAAGTGATATTTTTTGGGATTATTTATATATAAAAAATTTTTATAAGAGTATATGCAGCTAATTTCTATGATAAAAAATATTAAATATATAAAATAAAATAATCAATACTTACGAGATTCATTAAATAGAAAGTCATCTTGATGCTCTTTTAAAAATTGCGTCGATCGATTTTCATCCAAGAATAAAGAATAAACTCGTTTTACATCTTCAATGCTCACCTGTAAACAAATTTAATAAGTATTTGCATAAAATTAACAATAATAAATAGAGCTTGACAAACTTACTTCTGTGCTTTTTCTTTTACGGCTAACCAACGATGCAGTAGTAATGAGCTGAATAGCGTATCTCAACGATGTTTCTAAGGCAATCCTAGTCAGAACGGTAAGAGCATCATCAGCCATTTCACAATCTTCTTCTTCACATCGAATTTTCAAAATTTCTTTGAGATCTTTTTCTTGATAAGGACTAGTTGGAACAATAATCATACGGTCTAATAGATCGATTGGAATACCATGAGGGCTTTTATAGTTGGTTCCTCGAATTCGCGTTATCCCTCTGTTAGTTGCCATAATTACAATAGGTGCCATTTCATTTTCCAGAGCACGATTAAGAAATGAAAAACATTCGATATCAAGCATGTGAACTTCGTCAATAAATAAAACTCCGGGTACTATTTCAGCTTTACCTTCTTCTCTCCATTCTACAACTTTAGCATTAATTTGCTCTCGTACTTCTGATTTTATTTCACCTGTATCTCCAGAAAACAGCGCCAAGAATCCGTGAGTTCTACTGTTAATAACATCAACTTCATGTAATGAAACAGTATGGACAACTTCTTTACGCTTTTGTAATTCTCCTTCTGGACATTGAACGAATCTTGTTTGTGATCCAGTTGCATCGTAATCTCGTGCACGTGTAAATGAACGTCCGAGTCTGTTAATTTTTCCAGTTGCCTTATCAATAGTTATAACATCTCCTGCTTGCACCTTTTCCTTCATCAAACTATCAATCATTTTATTACCTAAATCATAAATCGTTTCCATTTCAGTTGTTTTGAGAGTTAGTTTTCCAACTTTAGCTCCAACTCCAGTAGCTGGCCTATCAATTTGGATTTCAACGACTTCACCCTCTATTATTTCCGTTTCTTCTTTTATTCGCACTCCGATAGATTTTCGAATGGCCTGAGTCAATGCCTCAGTTTTACCCATTTCCAATGAATAAATTTCAGATCCAGCCATCGATGTAAAGGGCGTATCTTGACCTAAAGTTTGAGCAAGACCCATAGCGATAGCTGTTTTACCAGTACCTGGTTGTCCAGCGAGCAATACAGCACGGCCTGCTATTTTTCCTTCTTTAATCATTTCCAGAATCATACCGGTAGCTCGTCGAGCCGTGACCTGACCCACCATGCCCTGAGAAACCTATTATCAAGAAAATATTGATTAATTTATCATAAATAATTATAATTATTATTACTTTTTAATTTTGAACTGGTTTCAACGTTGTATTCGAACTTACATGTCGTGCTTCAAGGCTGTCATCCAATCCTAAACCTCGGATGTGAGAGTGAGCCCCAATTCGCTCAATTCTTGTTATTTCTCGTACTTCGAGAGCTTTTGCTGCTGCTACGGCCTGTACAAAGAAAAAAAAAAAACTAAATTCATTATTTTAAGAAATTTATTTAATTAATACTAAATAATCAAAATGAATGTATAATTTATATTGGATTTAATATAAAAATCTAAACATTGAAAGATATTTAAGTAAAAGAGAAAATGAGTATAGGCTGTTTGGTAGTTAAAAGAAATTTTTTATCATTTCTACGTCGAAAATTTAACATCTTGTTGTATGAAATAGAAAAGAAATTTTATTTTTTTTATTACGAATAACCAAGTGAAATTAATCGAGTATAAACATTTTTCTACAAAGATTGCTAAAAATTAAAACTTTCGGTAACAAAATATAAAAAAAAAATGGGTGCAAATAAAAAAAGCAAGATATCTCGATCTGTCGACTTATGAATCAAAAATTAATAGATGAATTTGAACTATTTTGGGTAACTATTAAACCGCCTGTTACTGTCTGAATAAAAATGTACCGATAAATAAAAAATTTATATAAATCTGTATCAGGTGTAACCAAACATTTATTCTTAACGAACATTTATAGGTTATTTCTCATAATTACGCTAGTCTAAATTGTTATCATAATTTAACGTTATTTTTATTGATAAATTTTTGTGAAGGATATTAAATGTGACGTAAAATAAGTAACATATTAATATTAATAATAAAAATATAATAGAGGTCTTACCGCCATTATCGTTTAGTTTTGTTTGTTCAATAACTCTTTATCAAAATGTGATAACCACATTAACCACATGCGTGAAGTCAACAAAACTCGTTCCCATCGGATGTTTTCCAATTATATACCATGTTGTATAGCCCAAAATTAGCTATAGTAAATTTATTGAGTTCTTTTAATTCGCCCGTTGGAACGCGATAGGGCGTTCAACTCGCAGTAAATAGATTAAGGCGGGAGAGTAGATTTAAATTCGAATAAGTTGAATTAAATAACATATATATTGGTTTTCGACTCCCCTGGTTGAGATGTTCGTACCTTTGGAGTGGGAGAGGCCCAGAGGGTAGTGAGGGTAGTTGCGCGCGCCTCTGCAGCTCTCGTCTTCGGCTAGCATCCCTTCTCGAGTTGGCAAAATGGGACCATGTTGAAATGACGTCACGACAACCCTCGATGTTCCCAGGTCATTTGCAGCCCGCCTTGATGTCTGGTTTTTATGACCTAGCCCTAGGTACTCGAGTAATCCCTTTTTTTAGCGAACGTTTTGGAAAATAAGCTTCTTAAAAGATTATGACAATAAAAATTAATAAATAAAGATCTCTGGGTTTTCTCTAGTTTCGTAAAGAATATTCCAAAACGTTCGGTATCTTATTCTAAGTGACCATTACAATTACAAGCGTAAGTTTATTTTAACAAGGAAATTTTTCTTAGAATGTCTAGACTAACTGCACGGCACTTAAAAGTTTTTATGTTTTCCCTTGGGAGTTTCCGGTAATTATAAATTCGTCTATACCCTAAAATTTATGATAGAAAAATTCCCATACTTGACAATAGAATTTAAAATAGAAAGGTTTACGACATTTGAAAGATTCTTATTTCTCTTACTAATACTATTACAAATAAATACATATTTTAAATCTTACTGGGTTTTTCCCGCTATCATTCATTGCAGCCATCTTTTTATACGTAATTCTATGTTAATATACAGAGAGCGTTGTGATCAATCCTTTCGGATTCACAACAACCAGCATTAGTGCGATAATGCGATGTTGTGCCACATAGTTGGAAGATTGTTAACAGATTGATTTATAAATGTGACAGTAGAGTGCGTTGGACTCATTTCAGGTTGGAGAAATTAGGTTTGAAATATTAGAAATATTCATAAGTTTGACAATCTTTTATTTCTAAACAATACTTAATAATTTCACCGAAAATGAAAGAAAATCTGCCAATTTATAGGATTTATCAAACTTAAACATCGAATAGTTTTTGAAAAAGTAAATGTATCGAAAAATCATAAGATATTTTTTTTTAACGTTCTATTTCTTAAAAAAATATGTATCGAGCTAATCGAGCTAGCTGGTGAATTGCTTGTGATATCAAACATAAAATTCCAAACTTTAAGGGTCAGTTATTCAATCCAAGATAAAATTTTATCCAATGCTAAAATATGTCTATATATTTTGTGTATACAAATATACTAACAATAACAATTTTATCTTGGGTAAAATTTTATTCCTGATTGAAAAACTGGTCTTAAAAATATTTTTTTCCATCTTAGTACCAGACTACAAATTCATTGATTATGAATATACTGCTATCTTCCGGGCATAAAATGAAACTTTGTTACGCGGAATAAATTTAAATAAATTGATGTGTTCAATTTAGATGAAAATTAAATTAGCCGACATCAAAAAATTTTTATAATTTTTTTATTGAAAAAAATTATTTAAAAAGAATTAAGAGAAAAAATTTGAGATGTAGAAAATTTTAAGAATTTTCAGTGCAAGATTTTAAAAATATTTTTTTGTATTTACACAATATTTATATGTATTTATATATCTATAGTTTGAGTAATAG